AACTTTTTTAAACTACGTTCTCATCCATCATAATATCATTAATCGAAACCTATAATCTTCGGAATTTCAATAACTACATTTTTATAATAATAATAATTTTATAATACAATAAAAGTAAAAATAGATTTTTAGATACACTATAGATTTACCACGAAGTTGGGAATGACAAAATAAAATTTCAGATGCACTGTAGTGTCACGCCAAGTTGGTGCATTTCTTTTTTGAAAAAAAAACCTTATCAAAAAAAGCAGAACTTGGCGCTTTGTAACACTGTACATACGACTGGAATTTTAAGTTCTATTTTCATGTTATAATTACCACAATAGTAATTTTTAAATTCCCACTTTATGGTAGCTTACAAATAAATTTCATAACCAAACCACCTTATCAAATCTAATGCATTATTTTTATTAACGACCTGCCACTGAACGATACTTCACACATTTGGTATAACAAGGCCACAACTGCAAGCTGACTAAGGTTCGTATTCTAGAACTCTACTCAATGCTCAAGTCAGGACTTGAGTATGATTCAAAGCACTAGAAATCATACTCAAGTCCTTGACATTAGGGTTGTATTTCCAGTGCATGAAATCATACTGTCAATCATACTGCTCAAATCCTGACTTGAGCATTGAGTAGAGTTCTGGAATACGACCCTAAAAGAGATTTAAATATTCTACAAACTAAATTAATCAACAACTTTTTTATGCTATAAATGGGACCAAACATTTGTACGTCGCACTGCTAGACACGGGTCTCCTCTCAGTCGGCGGTTTAGGCTATAGTCCTTCGCCGGAAAGCTCATGGTAAAATTTATACTCATGGCATCTCCTTGAAAGGCGGTAGGTCAAGCCAGGCTACCATGGCTTATTAAATTTATTTTACGCAGTTCATCATGTGATAAAAAGCGCTTTTGACGTTTGACTACATGTGCCATTGTTATACCAACGGTACTTCAACACGAATGTTATATAATTTGCAATTAATTTACCACTCACGGTCACCATTACCAATTGGGTGGTAGCTTACAAACTCACATAACACTGTAAATATTTTATTAGGTTCATTATTAATGGCCTTCAGTCCGAGCACATCCAACAATGATAGTAAATAAGCACGAGTTCATGGCAATACCGTCGTTTCAGTTCTATCATTTTTATTCTCGTGTAAGTTGTTTTCTGTACAAATTCCGTGACAAGTTTTATTACATAAGTATTCAGGTATACAGGGTGAAAAAAATCAATGGCATATAAAGGGGAACTACCTAAGCAATTAAGTGATCTTTTAACTAAAAATGCAAAAAAATGAGCACTCTATTTTATTATACTAGTCGATAGGACTTATCCTTATAGATTTATTATCAATTTATTACAATTGGATACATCCATGAAATCTAATAGAACACAAAGTACACGTTTAACTACTAAATTTACACAATTTTAGTAGAGCTCCTTGTGAAACAGAAAACCTGGACGACCAGGGAAGTACTGCCATCTGAGTGACACTGTAATTGTTGTGAACAGGCATGTCGCTAACCACCAGGCGCACGACTTCTTCGTCTCGTCGTGTATCATAAAAAAAAACATTGTTATTGATGCTGGTTGTGAAAGCAGTTATTTATATTAAGAAAAATAAAAGAATATTCTTACTTCATGTCGTATTGATTTTTTCCACCTTTCACATCAAAATATGCTTTAAGGTAGCTCTTTGATGACGTCAAAATGTTTAAGGACTGAACATGAACACTGCTCTCCTAGTCATAATATCAAAACTAAATAAGATATAAAAAAACGGATTAGCGGGGGTTGTAGATCTTTGATTACATTAGTTATGATAAGGGGGGGGCAGAACAGTGATCACCAAAGTCCATCTGAGGGTAAAAAAAGCTTTTCATCGTCTGGTGATGTCATTCTTAATAATAACACGTTATAAAAAGGCTTACATACTTATGTCTTGTTCAGGTCTTGTACTGAAAATACGCATAAAATTAAGAAATACATTGGAATTGCAATACAACTTCTGTCATTTTCATTTCGACTTATGAACGTAAGTTGAAAATTTAATGAAAATTATTAGAGAAATTCTGAATTCTATATTACGGCCATTCATGCCAATTCATGTTATTGTTCTATAACTTTTAATAATTTACGAGATTTACTTTCGTACAAAAATAAAAATAGTGTCGTCGGGAAGGACGCTAGAACAAGAAAAATTTATAATGTAAAAACTACTTCTATCCGGCCGGATTCGAATCGACGTCTTCTAGCATACCGTGGCAGAGGCTACACCAACTAAGCCACGGAACGAACCAGCGAATTTTTCTGTGCTTGCTGTCGTGTCTTCGTATTCGGTTTTTAACGACATTTACGTCTTTTTAAATTTATCATTCGTTTTGTAATGGAACAAAAGTTGTTGTCTATGGTATCAGTAAATACTACTGAGAGGTGGTTATTATAGTACTTTATAAATAACCATGTATAGAACAGTCAGTTGCATGGCAAAATAGAGCATTGGAACTTCATTACTGTTCCAGTAAACGTTAAAACGCGAGCAGAACAATCGCTTACATCACTTAGTCTCGCCTAGATTTTCAACAGATTTCTTGCTCAACTCAAAATTGTGTACTAAATTGTATAGTGTGTAATTCGTCAAGTTTGTGTATGAATAATATTTCTCCCGAAATTTCGGAATTTCCTCTGAAAATACACTCCCGAACACATAATTCGAGCCACATTGCATTTTTATCCTTAAACGGAGTATAAAAATATAGTTACCGTCGAAGGAAAAGTTTTCACCGGTTTTTTAAATTCAAATTTTCAATAAGGACTTGAGGAAATAACGTTTAGTTTACCAGTTTCAAAGTTGCATAACAGTTCTTGATATCAATCAAGCATTGTTTAAGCGGGTATTTAGTATTGTAAATACAAGGTGGCTCAAATTATGTGTCCGGTATATTATTATATAAAGGAAATAAAATATTACGTACAATAGAGTAGCAATGTCGGGCCATCCAATATTTAAATGTCAAGTGATTTATTAATAATAAAAAATTACAATTAAATCGTCGCCTTACTTTCTCAAAGTCGCATCTTAAAAAACAAAGTAACTGAAATGCAAAACATGGATTGTATAAAATACGAATTTTTCATTCTGATTTCACGTCTCATTTCCATCATATTCACACACTGGCTTTTGCCTATTCTGAAAGTAATGCATCCAAATTAATATCCTTTAAAATAAATAGAAAGTAAGGCGTCGAAATGTTACTATAAAGCTCAATTTACATTGCGGCGGAACGGAATAGAATGGAAGTGTCAATTTCGCTGCTCGAGCACTCTAGCGACCGCGCCTTGAGGCTAAAGTATTTCGCCGTCGCTAGGCGTTTCCGCGGAAAACGCGCGACTTGATTTTTGGCTCGTATCTAGTTTGTACACAATTGACCATAAAGTTCATCACGCTATGTTCAATATCGTTACAAAAATTCGCTTCCATTCCTTGCCGCCGCAATATAATATGGGCCATAGAATTTGACGAGGAGGAAATTATTTACGCATTTTTGAAAGGACGTATTTTTCGGGGTCTCGGGATGCAGCAAATTTTTCGTTGAATTAAAAAAAAGACGCTTGAATTATCTATGCTTTAAAGTTATTTCTATAGCTTTAACATTAAGATTATTGAATATCACAATGTTTATTCAATTATTTTTTGTGAAATCACCCCACTACTTTATTATAATTATTAATACAATTCGATCTGGCTGGACCAGCCACTGTATAAAGAGGTCGCTGGCTCTGATCCAGCGGGATACAAGGAATGTTTCTTTGTGTTCGATCATTGTATTAATAATTACTTCCATACTTTTTTGACACAACACTGATATATGCTAAAACTGAATTTTCTAATTAACATTCTCACTCAATTGACTCAATCATGGAGAATTTTTGTCTATATACCTAAGCAAATAAGTAAAAATTCAGTTATTTACTTATTGACTCGTATTTATTCACATTTTTATTTCAAAATACATCCAAGTTTCATACGTACGGGCAGTGTACAAGACCTTATGCATAGTGACGTATGTTCGCCATATTTACTAATGACATCATAAATATCCCTATACTAATCGGCAATGATGAGATTGCTAATCAGTGTTGTTGGATAAGGACACGTGAAATTGGAACTTTTTGTTGCTAACCCTCCTTTTTTGTTGTTAACAAACCTCAAAATTGTAATACTAGGTTAGTGACGTCATCAGAAAACATGGCTTACATTGTAAAGTAGGTACAGTAGCCGTGAAATTAAGGAACTTGTAGAATTTAGTTTAATGTAATATGGAGTGTTCATAATTTAAACAGGATTAGGAAAATTAAATCATTTTATCTTAAGGGAATAAATCGAACAAAAGGAAATCATGGCACGGATCTCCTCTCAGGCGAGGGTTCTCCTGAGAGGAGACCCGTTGGCGAAACTTCAGACGTTTCCCGAGGTCTCCGTTCACCGAAATGCTCATGGTACATTTCAAATTTCGAAAGAAACGCCTCTTTTGAAACCGGAGAAAGAAATACCGGATTGTAAAGCAGCATGACACGAATGCGTACCTAATAAATATCATAAAATTCTCCAAGTTCTCTAATTTCCAGCACCAGTACCTTTGTATCGACGTCACTAGGTCTAATAAGCCAAATACTATAGCAGCGCCCGTATTTCCTTGTGCACATGGCACAGGTAGTCGACGTAGGAAGCGCTGCCGTCCACACCGCGATCTTCGACAAGGAAATGGCGGAGGACTGCTTCCAGCTTGTCGTGTTGCCGCATCATTGTTAGCTGGAACAAATATTACATATTCAAGTTTTGTTTTAGCAATAACCAGTGCAGCCATTATCTATCAAAATCAAAGTAGTGATAGGGAAGTAAATTAAATGGCAGCACGGGCGTGGAAACCCCTAACCACACTGCCCCAATGCAATGGACGCCATAATAATAATTAATGACAGAAAATAACTAACAGATTTAGAGCGTTTGCGCATTACGTTCGGATTCGTATCAGGACCCCGATTTAGAACTCTTCGATACTTTAACCGAGTCGTTCTATTGGGTATCGTTCTCGTATCGAAGGACCGAGCAATAGCTTATTCGAGTTAAAACGTTCAACTCGGATTCGGATACGATATGTTATCCAACAGCGTTTACGGAGTTAGTCGGCGAATATAGATTATAATGTGTGCATTAGTCTTGCATTAAAATAAATTAATAAAATTTGAAAAAATCCAGACTTTATTTACAATAATAACAGATTTCCATATTACATTCCTGTTTTGTAAACATGTTCTGAATAACGTTTGTAGCCTGTGCCGGTCGAAAAGTTCGAGTAATCGTACGGATGTGACGTCATTTCGGTTCAGATTCGAATACGACAGTTTGACGTTCGATTCGAGTGTTGTGGATAAAAATGAAAATAAATCGGTCGACAATTGAGTTATCGTAAGGTTTTAAATCGACCCCCTGGACAACGATTCAGAACTCTTCGATATTTCAGAAATCAGAAACATTTATTGTATGAATTGGTAAAATACAGGTGTTACAAGTGATTAGATCCACAATTCTTACCCAAATCAGGCGTACAATGTCTTAAAATTACAATTTAATTAAAATTTATTGCAACTTATAATTAAGTCAATTATACAATTGTCAAATATTTGATGGTCTTTATATAAAATTCGTTAAGATTGTAAAAAATTTTGTCAATTAATCATTTTTTTAAACAAGCTTTAAATTTATCACCATTTAAACATTTCATTTCCATTGGAGGTCTGTTATAAATTCTGATCGCTGTTACATAGCACTATCTTTGACCGCAGCACGGTCAAAGATAGTGCTGTTTATTCTAGCGAGGGCAAGACGGTCCTTGTTTCTGACGTTAACGGAGTATACATTAGATATTTTAGTAAAGAAGTTACTGTGATTACGTACAAAAAGACATTTTAACTGAATCGATCGATTGCATACCGTTCTCTATTTAGAACATTCCGAGTTGACTAGGATGCGGATACGATATCGTTATACAAGAGCGTGTTACTCGGTGAAATAGACTATAAGAAAAATGGAAATCCTTTTATATACATTTTTAAGACTTTAAAGGCCTAAAATATAGGAATGTATTAGTCTTGCATTAAAATGAATTAATAAAATCCAGACTTTATTCAAAAGTAATAAGAGATTTCCATATTACATTCTTGCTTCGTAAACAATAGGACGTTCGGTAACTTTCATTCGATAACTGTGTTCTGAAAAACGTTTGTAGCCTTATAGAAGCTCTCGTATGGAAGTTATCGTATGGGTGTGACGTCATTTCGGTTCGGTTTCGAATACGACAGTTTGATTCGGGTGTTGTGAATAAAAATGAAAAGAAATTGTACGATATCAAATCGAGTTATCGTAAGGTTCTAAATCGACCCCAGTTCCGAATCCGAGAAATGACGGTCCGAAATGTCTCAGGGATCATTTTATCTCTAGGGATCTAGTCCACAAGCGACATCCGAAGTGGGTCGGAGTATTCTGGATTTTTATAGTCATACGAATCGAATGCAATGCGTAAACGTGCTAAAGGGTTCTGCGACATCAAAAAGCAGCTGGTACAACCAGGGGTGGTTTTAGTCCGTAGGTGAAGCACAACCCAGTGACGGCATGGCTTCCATGAGAGACTCCTCGTTTCCACGCAACCAAAAAGAGCTACAATTTGTTTTTCATTATTCTTTGTAAAATCATCACTTCAACCGAAAGATGTCCACTGTTGGACGTAGGTCTCTCCTATGTCTGGTCATTGGGCCAACATTATTGGTAGCCACATTGTGTCTTCTCGTACCAATTAGAGATTAGTAAAAAACAGAATGATCGACATAGCCTAAATAATTATCGTGAAGTTGCCACGAAGTTTCTTCCTGAGTCTCGTATTCGTAAAGAACTTTCGACAAGAACAATCGACAAAAATCTTAACTGGAAGGAACACATCGATTTGCGTTAAGTTAAATAGATTTGTTTACGCTCTACGAAGACTAAGGCAAACGGTCTCTCGAGAAGCTGCGTCTTGTGTTGTGGAGCACAACACAAGAACATAGAAAGAACTTTTAGGGTCCAAAAGAAGTTTCGGTGCGTGGTTCGATGACAGTTTAAAAGGATAAACATATTGCCTTTGACATGCATGTACATTAGGGATATTTGCGTATTTATAAGCTCTCATCCTAATTATTCTAAAACACGTGGGGAAATCATTCAAAGGCAAACTAGAGTAAAAATTATGAATCTTTTATACCAACCTCGTTGCCATAAAGTAATTTATAAGAATAACTGCTTCAACATGTGTATAATTAATTATTTTCAATAAATTACCAGCTGAGATTAAATTGTTACAAGAACATACTTTTACATTTGCAATTAAGTAATAAAGAATAATTGGAATTTACAAATTCATGACATTAATTTGAAAGTACAGAGAATAAATAATAGGGGTTAAAGTATGAAATTGCCGATTTGTACTGAAAATCTAAATTGTTTATTTTTTTAAATTTGTAACAAATTTATTTAATCAAAATAGTTGCCATTATTATCTATACATTGCTGCCATCTAATGGGAAGGTTATTAATGCCTTTGCGATAGAACTCCGACGATCTAGACTGCACAAACTGTGTGAAAGCATTTTGTACTGCCTCCTGGGAAGAAAACTTCTTGTCACGTAGATAATTGTCCAATTTTTTTTTTTTTTGGTAGTCCGTTGGAGCAAGGTCTGGTGAATACGGAGGATGACGAATGGTTTCTAACTGCAGTTCCTGAAGGGTCAAAATGGTTTCTCGTGCTGTGTGAGGTCTCTCGTTGTCGTGGAGCAATAATGGTGAAGATCGATTCATGAGTCGGGGCTGTTTTACTGCTAGTTTTGTCAACATGGTTCGGAGTTCGGCACAATAGACATCTGCCGTTATTGCTTGACCAGATCGGAGAAAACTATAGTGAATAACACCATGCTGAGACCACCAAACAGTTACCATTACCTTTTTATTGGTAAGTTTTGCTTTAGGACACTGTTGTGGCATTTGACCTGGGGTCAGCCATTGCATTTTTCTTTTCCGGTTATCATCACATGTTACAATTCGATCCAATATTCCTTCATTTCTGTACCGGTTCAACAAGGCAACACAAGTTTCAACACGCGTTTCTTTCTGCAGATCAGTCAAATCATGAGGCACCCATTTTTCGTATTTTTTTATTTTATTGATTTGACGCAAGTGAGTAAATATTGTGGGTAAGGTAACGTTAAACCATGCCGCTAATTCCTGGGTAGTTTGACTAGGATCGGCTTCCACTATCTCTCTTAATTCATCGTTATTCACCTGTGTGGGCGGTCTTCCTCGTAGCTCGTTCTTTAAGTCGAAATTTCCATCACGAAAGCGTTTAAACCAAAATCGCACGGTGCGTTCATTAGTAGACCCCTCTCCAAACGCAGCATTGATATTGCGGGCTGTTTCTGCCGCGTTAGTTCCGCGTCGGAACTCGTATTCAAAAATTACTCGAATTTTCGCAGTATCCATCTTTCTTGTCTAAATTGAATAACAAAAACAATTGAAAGTCGATATTCAAATGTTTCAAATTTAAAAAAAAATCACAGAAACCATTTGAAAAAAGTTTCATTCGAAAACCTCAAACCATGAAGATTCTATGAAAATTCAAAGAACCTATTGCAATAAAACGGCAATTTCATACTTTAACCCCTAATATTAAATCCCATTTGTTTGCAAGTAGAATACAATGTACCCAATTATACTTGTAATTGCTACGTAATTACTGTATTCTGGCAAATAAACGTATTCTATTATATTCTGTCTCACTAGACGCATAATGTTGACGCCGTTGGCAGCAGTGGTTGATATCATACCTTTTAAGAAAACTTGCACATACCTATTTCCGTATTTAAAAACGAGTTACCAATGAAAGTGGTCGCGTGTTTCAGGTTAAAAATTAATACAATATTCAACAAAGGTTACAAAATAAAATTATCACAAATATAGCGATCATGCACAATAAATTAAAACACGTTCAGGCTGTAACATCCTCTGGAACGTTTCTGTTAGGACCCTGAACCACAACCCAAGCTCAAAAAAATCACAAAATTGAGTCCACTGTTAGTCAAACCATATTTGATAAGCATGTTGATGAAGCGTGTGTGATGGTGGACTATAAAACTTCGTATAGAGAACACCTGTACCAAAGTAGATGTCAATTGTCAACGTGGATGGAATACGCCATCAATAATAATTGTAAATGTCACCAGTTCATCAGGTGTCAGTAATCGAATAGAACACCATCGACAGTAATTAGGAGTCACCATACAATCAAAGCTATAGCTCGTTTCAAGCCATTAAACAGATTAGTACAGAGTACTAAAAAAACCGACTTCAAAAGTCATTCATCCCCTAGTTTGCCACCTTTATAGAACATTTTCTTTCATTGAAATGGGAGCAGTGTACTGAGGTACCCTCTTTCCAATACTAAAAGAATCATCAAAATCGGTTTACAAAATTATCGCTTAACATACATACAACAAAAAGCAATCGAATTAAAAATTTCCTCCCTTTTTAAAGTCGGTTAAAAAGGTGAACAAACATGTCACTGTACCGACCATAGACAGTTTAGTGATGGTCATTTGTACTGCCAACTAAAAATCAATCGACGTAATCGATTTGTTTACTCGAATCAGTTGGAATAGTGTGTGAAAAGAAAACCAGTGAAGGCGGCTGAGTCTTTTTATACATTCAAACTAAAGTCCCAGGAAAGG